TCTGGAATCCGTCCCTTGGATGGGGGGGGGGGGTACTGTCACGATCAGGCTTTGCCCTGTGTGTTCTGTGTCTGTTTCTTTCTGTAGCTCCTCACTCACCTAATCAGTTCATTCAGTGCACCTGCCAGTCACACTCAGCTCATTACTCTCACCTGCTCACTCTGCCTCCTTCACTATTTAAACCCCTGCCGCACACACACCCACTGCCAGATCATTGTTTGTTTTCCGACTTACCCGCCCGTTTTGCTCGTCCTGTTCCCGGTTTTCCAGTCTGCCTGTTCTGCCTTTTCCTGCTGGATTTTCCCCCTCGTCTTTTGTCTTGTCCCTGGATTCCCTGTTTGTTTTTGGTTATCATTAAAACCTTTTTTCACTACACCTGACTGTCTGTGTTTGAGTCCTCACCATGCCCCGTGACAGTTTATGTGAGAAATAAAATGCCTATATTGGAAAGTGGACTTCGTTATTTATGATACGCGTCAGAACAAACATTTCAGCAACCGTGGTGACTTTTTTCGGAAGCAACGGTCACAAAAAACAGTATATTAACAGTCATTTTTCCTTCATTTTAGTTCCTGTTTTCTTTCGTCTTCTGTCTCTCTCTATGTAGAGAGCCCCCCCCCCCCCCTTTCTTCCCCCCCCCCGCCCCCCCCTCCTTTCTTGATTCTCAGTGTTATGTTGTTCTGTCCCTGGCAGTGAAACACTGATGCTGATGCCAAGGAAAAAATAGGACAACATCTTTAATGTGAATCTTCAGTGAATCCTTCATCTGCAGCCAATTGATGAAAACACCAGAGTACTGAAGAAGACTTGTTTCCTCTTCATCCTTCTTCCTGATCTGATTCCTCTCATTGTAGAAGAGAAGTTCATCGTCAGCCTCGGGGCTTTGGTCCTGCCCCCCCTCCTCCCTGAAATGTCCAACGACAGCGGCCACTTTGATGTCTGGGAGGCCTCTGATTGGACGGACAGCTCTCAGTGCCTGCCCTCGGTGGGCGGAGCCACTTTCTTAATCGTGGCGTACAGCGCTGTTATTGCAATCGGGTTGCTAGGCAACGCCGGCCTGGTGTTCATCATAGCCCGGCAACAGGAGTTACGCAACGTCACAAACATCCTGATCGCCAACCTGTCGTGTTCAGATATCCTGATGTGTGTCGTGTGTCTTCCTGTTACCATCATATACACACTGATGGACCGCTGGGTGCTGGGAGAGGCCATGTGTAAGGTTAGAGACACACACACACACACACATACACCCATATACACACACGCACACACACACCAACACACCTACACCCACAGCTAACCTGTAACCGTCTCTACCTGTCCACCAGGTGACTCCCTTCGTTCAGTGCACCTCGGTGACCGTCTCCATCTTCTCTCTGGTGCTGATCGCTCTCGAGCGTCACCAGCTGATCCTTCATCCCACAGGCTGGTCCCCGGCGGCCGGACACTCGTACCTGGCCGTAGGGTTGACGTGGCTGGTGGCTTGTTTCATCTCTCTGCCTTTCCTCTCCTTCAACATCCTCACTAACGACCCCTTCAGGAACATCAGCCTGCCCGCCAACCCCTTCAGGTGAGCCATAATATCTGGATACAGGTGTGTGATTGGTCCTCCACACCATGTTGTCACAGCGTCAGGATAAAGGAGCGCTCACTATTTGTTATTGCTATTAATCAACTGATTCAAACAGAATGATCAGGACCAGTGTATTTGCTCCGTAGGTGAAGTGAATCCACTGAAATTGTTGTCAAATGTGCATCATTGAGCAGCAACAAACCATCTTTACTGAGCTGACCTTCAGCTGTGTTTAATTTTTACTAACTGACTGACTTTAGCAGGCCTGTTAGCATAGATATCTATCGATATATATATATATATAGATAGATCGATAGATAGGGGTTGTATAGACTGTCTCCATCCTGCAGCTCTGAGTCTCTCCTGTCTTTCCCTCAGTGACCATCTGGTCTGCATGGAGCTGTGGCCGTCAGATAACCACCGTCTCTCCTACACCACCTCTCTGCTGCTCTTCCAGTACTGCCTCCCTCTGCTGCTGGTGCTCCTCTGCTACCTCAGGATCTTCCTCCGCCTGAGGCGACGCAGGTCTGATTTGTGTTATTACATCAAGATAAAGTGTTTATTTCTATACGTGGATTCATGGTGCCGTAGCTCTGCTGTGATATTTCCCAGTGCCTCGTCTGACCGGCGTCCTGCTGTGTTCAGGGACATGCTGGAGCGCAGCAGGAGGACTCAGGGAGCCCAGAGGATCAACATCATGCTGTTAGTTATCGTCGTGGCCTTCGCTCTGTGCTGGCTGCCGCTGAACATCTTCAACACACTGTTTGACTGGCACCATCAGGCTCTACCCGACTGCCAGCATGACGCCGTCTTCTCCGCCTGCCACCTGACGGCGATGGCTTCCACCTGCATTAACCCCGTAGTGTACGGCTTCCTGAACAGCAACTTCCAGAGGGAGCTGAAGCTGACGCTGCAGCGCTGCCGGTGTGGCCACCGGGCGGCAGAGAGCTATGAGAGCTTCGCTCTCTCCACCGTGGGCAGTGACGGCACCACGAAGACCACCTCGCTCACCAGACCTCAGATCAGCTCAATACCAGCTCACTCCTCATGAGGAGGACCAGACAATGTGTGGTCACCACACACTGTCTGTAGAGGTGTAGCTCACCTCTATGTTCCTCCCAGAGGAACATAGAGGTGAGCTATGATTTGACCTGCTCAGAGTCAAACGGATCATTTAAATCAGACGGACGGGTCGGAACAGGAAATGATGAGTCAGCTGATGAAGCTTCAAGTCCAGAATAAACAAAGTAAAACCTTGTAAATGGACTCATTGAGGGACACAACAGGGTTCTATATATGCACTTGATACCATGCTAACAGGCTAAAGAGGCTAAAGCTAACAGGCTAAAGAGGCTAAAGCTAACAGGCTCCAGGTCAAAGGAGTTTGCATCATCACCAGTTAATGATCTAGAAGAAATAAACTGTTATTTTGCTAGAGTTAGGTTAGTTCTAATATTATATATATATTAGTGCTGGGCAACGATTACAATTTTTAATCGCGATTAATCGCATGATTTTTTTGCGATTAATCTCATTGTTATGCGCAAAGTTCAATAATGAATTCAAAAGTAGTGTATTGCGCACTTTTATTTTAAAGTACTGCTATATGAACTAAAGGTCAATAACATTTGGTTTAAACACTTTAAACACATCAGGTTCTTGTTTGCAGCAGTATTCCCTTTACACAGTAGCAGTTATAACACAGTTATAATGATTCTGATCATAGATATTCAGCCGGTGTTCATAACTTCATCTTCATGTGTGTAAGAGATGATATTTAAATGTACACCTTGAGAACAGCAAACCTATCTACGTCATGTTTTTATGTTTGTTAAATTCTCAGTAGTGATAACTAAATGATGCTTATTATACATATTACAAACAAAACACTTTAAAAACTCTAAACAAATAATTCAAATGAATCATTTATTTTTAGCTTTTTTTGGTATTGTGGTCAGACACATATGCAACGCTGATTACCGTAATATGTGTGGTATTTGTTATAAATGTACGTTGGTACATAGAGGGTGATAAGAAGCTGTACATGGAGGGACTTAGGACCCAGGGGAATGTAGGTGAAGGAAACAGGAAGAGACG